ACTTGTTCTAATCAGGTTCATGCCTTGGTTGTTTAAAAACAACCGAAAGAACACCCTTCTGGGAAAAAAAAGGTGTTAATTCTAAAAAAACAAAGAGAAAAATAGAAAAAATATAGATAACCAAAGTATCCATTTTGCTTCCAACAGTGTCAGAAATTTGGACAATACAACAAAGATGATCCCAACTCCTTCAGATTATCAGAATCTTTTTCTTTGTATCCTCAGGTAAGAATGTCACTTCCTACAGCAGTGGGAAAAGTGTGCAAGGGTGAGTGTGAGTGATACTAAAACATCTTGTACTATTTATCAGATTCAAAAGGGCAGGAACAGGTGCTTCTTTATTTTAGTGGGCTGGTCCTGTAGTTCCATGCTGCAAGTGACTGATAGGGGAAGAATTCTGAGTAGTTAATGAACTTGCTGTTCAGAAAGATTGGATTTGGGTCCAGAAATTTTGACAACTTTGGCTGACATTTCTCACTCATCTTTCTGGTGCAGTTCATGTTCCATCTGCGACGCTCCCCATTCCTGCAGGTCTTCAATAACAGTCCAGATGAATCTTCTTATTACCGTCATCACTTTGCTAGGCAAGATCTGACTCAGTCTCTCATTATGATCCAGCCCATCCTTTATGCTTATTCTTTCCATGGGCCTCCTGAGGTGAGTCTGTGTTTTACAGAAGAGGTGAATCAACCCCAAATAATGAGTATTCAGTCAGAGTAACACTATTTCAGCAAAAAGGCCCCTATATTTCTTTTTTAATTGTTAAAGCTGAGATACTTTTGTTCAAGATCAAACCAAATTACGCTTGGAGGGCCATGGATGCTCTCTGGCTTCCTTCACTTCTTACAGATGCTGATAACCTGCTGCTCCATTCTGTGATGCTGCAGGAGGCTGGCCACGCTCTGCCAGGCATTCACATTGACCAAGCAGTGCCTGCATGGGCAGGGTTCAACAAGCTGCTTGGCCAACTGTGAAGGTTAATATACTTCTGACGGCTTAGGGGTGCCTGACTTAATTCTTTATTTTCTCCAGCCAGTGCTTTTGGATAGCAGCAGTATTCTTCCTGACAGAATTCTCCTGATGGATACTTTCTTCCAGATAGTTATCTACCTTGGTGAGGTACGGTGAAATACATTCTCTTTCTCTGTTTGCACTCCCTCCCTCTTGCCATGCATGCGGACAGCATTGCTGTTAGTTTAAAATAAGCTTCTTGCAAAGCCAACATGCGCTTAATGACATGGTATACATGTTGTCAGAGTTAAAATAATGCTGGAATTGCTAAGGATGTGTTCTGCACTGGAGTAGCAGCTGTTATGTTAGCTTAGTAATGAACACGATCACTTACCATGCATGGAAGAGGCTAGAGAAACTTGAAACTAAGCAGGGCAGAGAGTTACATTTGATTTTCAGGTACGTGACAGACTTGATTGCAGGGATATGACACTTAAATATTGCTGCTCTTAAAGAAATCAGGCAGTTTTACAGTTTTTGCTTTTAAATATTGGATGTTTTGGAAACTACTCCTATATTTCTTCCATTGTGACTGAGATAAATGCTTAGATATTGGCTCTTTCTAAACATACAGACTTACTCCTTGGCTTTGATCTACTTTGGTCTGCCTGTGTACTATGCAGACCTGTAGATCTATATTTCAGTCCTTTCAGGTTTTGGAAGGGAGCAGTGCACTACTGTAACTGAAGAACAGAAATGTGTCACATCCTAGAGTAGTTATAGGGTAAGGGATGAAGAAGAAAGCTGTTTTCCACATCTTTTTCTGGAAAACTCCCTGTTCTTTAATGCCTTCCCCCCCCATATCCTTCCTATCCCTATTCCCTCATGATTCCTATTAGTGAAAACTTTTTGAGAGGTATTTTAACCCTTTCCATTATTTTTAAACTAAGCTACTTCGCTGTTATTTGATTCCTGTTATTAGAATGCTTGAAGTTTGGCATGATAGTTTTTGGCAGCTCCACTATTGGCTCCCGATTTCACTCTATATAGGATTTTTTCCCTTTGAGAAGTGAGAAGGGGTATCCAATTGACACGAACAGGAGTTGGACACTTGAGTCAACAGTGACAGTAAATCTGGAGTGACCTTAAACAGGTTCTACCTACTGTTGCAGAGCAAGACACTCAGCAAGTGGGTAAAATTTAGACAGAGGAAGAGCTAAGTGTGTGACCGGTATATGTGTAGAACAATTGGTACATACATGTGGTACATACAATAGGTACTGTGAAAATTCTGTTACGGTCAAGTCAGGTTCTTCATGTTTCTGTGTTGGCACAGGCTGAAACATAAAGATTTGAAGATCACTTTCAACTAATTGCTTTTGCACTGTACAAATTGCTACCAGCTTTTGTGTTGAGTGCCTGTGCTTGAATTCAGGGACAGAAATTAATGTTTTTGCCAGAGCAGTGAAAGTGTGCATTTACCCTGTAAGCAGAAGTACATGTAATGTTCTGCTGCATTAAGATGTGCAGGTTAAAAAGGGGAGGCTTGCAGTCATCTCTGCTCTTGTTTTTATTTCATCAATGTCCCATCAATAGACTATTGCACAATGGCAGAAAGCTGGATACCAAGACATGCCTGAATATGAAAACTTCAAGCACCTACTGCAAGCCCCACTAGATGACGCCCAGGAAATCCTGCAGACCAGATTCCCAATGCCACGTTACATCCACACTGAACATGGGGGCAGTCAGGTAGGAAAGTTTATGGAGGAACTTTCTGTTGTTGCGTAGAGCAAATGGCTGTCTTTCTGCTTTCCTGGAAGGATGGTTCTGTAAGTTAAACGTAGTGGTAATTTAGCTCTTCAAAGTACAGCGCTTGCATGTTTTCTCATGAGCTTTTACTAAAACTCTGTCTTTTAATAAGCAAGTCACTTGCTGGATATACTTTTTGAAATCTGAGAATGGGAAAAAAATGGAAAAGGTGACTTAAATACATTTTATTCCCAAAGAGGTGGGAAAGAAATGATTTGGTTATGTGTCTATAGTTAGCCTGCAGTAATGCTGATGATTCTTTATTCATTCAGCATTACTGAATGAATCATTACTATGCGTCTAATCCTTTATTCTCTAACACTGAATGAGGATGTAAAATAGTTCCTATTGTTGTTCTTCTTGGAATTGCATTGTGCTGTGCTTGCCTGTGCAAGAACTGATGGTCCAAAACAAAGATTTGGTATAGATTTTTGATGTGACTCTATTACATTGGTCCTCCACTGACCCCTTTTCTGAAGAGCAGATGGGGCATGCGAGGGACGGTGCTGGTGACATGCCCATGTTGCATGGAACCAGAGCTGCCCTGCCAGCTCAGCATGGCTTGTTGTAGCAGAGCACTCAGTGCCCTTTGGAGACAGGTTGTCTGTGGAGCAGGGCTATTTCTGGACTTGAAACCTGTTTAAGTTAAATTAGTACCTTGCTTGGAAAAGCAGAGGAATATCTAGAGTCACGAATCTAGGGCAGTATGAAGCTTGAGGGAGCTCACAGGTCTGTCATTTTACAAAACTACTGCTCTTTTGTCCTAATAGGCTCGGTTCCTCTTGTCTAAGGTGAACCCTTCTCAGACCCACAATAACCTCTATGCATGGGGACAGGTAAGCAATGAAAGAGCTGCTCATGTTTGGGAATGCTGTAAAATGTACATATTTGGCTGTGCAGCGTGGTTTCACCACGTGGCCGTGAAAGGAGAGCAGGTTACATTTGTCCTTGGTTTCTTACCATGGTTATTGATAAGATAAACGGTACTGGTAGGGACCACTAGATGATGAGAATAATAGTTTTCAAGCGTGGATGACTGAATTCATGTTCCTGTTCTTGTTCTGAATCCCCACAAATTTTCCACAAAATCCAGTTGATTTTGAGATTTTTCTCAAGGAATCCAAGGAATGCCTGTCCAAACAGAGGTGATGCATCAACAGCTCAGGACCTGAGTAGCCTGATGGAAGGAAAGGAGGAAGGAAACTACTCCAGAAGGAGTAGTTTGTTCCTTTGATTTTCCCTTCCCATATACCAGCTGCATTGGGGGTACAGGCAAACCAGGAGAGTTTTCTGCGTTGGTTGCTACTGAAGGAAGCAGCTGATTTTATGTAGCCTATGTTCTTAGAGATTTCAGGTGACCTGATATAGCAATTCATCTTGACTCTTCCCTACAAATATGATTTAAATAGATGATAATGTATTTAGTATTCTGGAAGAAGTAACTAGCATATGGATACATACAGACCTAAGAATTCTATCTGAGAATACTAGATTTTTATATCCTTTTTGTTTACCTTATTTGTGTAGCACTCTGGGCAGCAAAATTCCTAATGCTTTAGGAAGAACAGACTTCAGATTGTACTGGAGGACAGTGTTAGTGCTGTTGCCAAAAAGTAGCAACTTTTCATTAGAGATGCTGAGCATTTCTAATGATCCTGTCTTTTGCAGGATAAAAAGGTGGTTAATTTAGCAGGCAGTTAGTTTAGAGCACTAACATTTTATTTGCTTTCGGTTAGTCCCCTACATTAACAACAGTGTTTTTTTTTTCCCCAGGAATCTGGAGCTCCAATCTTGACAGATGATGTGAGTCTTCAGGTATTCATGGACCACTTAAAAAAGCTGGCAGTTTCAAGTGCATCATGACTGATCAAACTGAGGAGCAAGAACAGACATGGATCATGTTGATGACAGAAATGGAGCAGTTTAGTTACATTTCCTTTTCTCTCTTTTAAACTAGAGGTTTTAAGTACTACATGAAATAAATATCCGGGGGGAGTTTTTTACTGCTCCTTTCTAACTTATTCGTATTCCCTTTTGTCTATATTCTGCTTACTCTAAATTTTTCACACTGCAATCAGAGCTGAAGGATCAACAGAGATTTTGACAATCCTTGGCTTAATTTTAACGTCATGCGTTCTTAAAAAGTATCTTTTAGCAACGGGGGAGCCTGTATTAATGAAAAATAAAATCAGGTGAGAGCACCACTACTCAGTGCCGCTCCCGAATTCAGGAGTACGCGCCATGGCTGATACCTCCCTCCTCCTCCCTTCGCCGCCGCCCCCGCCCTGTGCGCCGCCCCATTGGCGGCGGGGCGCGGCCAACGAGCGCCGGCCGTGTTGGGGCGTGATGCGAGCGGCGGCGTGGAAGGCGCGGGCGGCGCTGCTGTATTCCGTGGGCGGGTGGACGGCGCTGTTCGGGATGATGTACTACACACGCCAGGGCGGCGGCGGCGATGACGGCCCCGGTACGGGTTGGCGCGGTCCCGGGACCGGAGGAGGTCACCTCGGCGGGGCGCGGGTGAAGGCGTGACGTGGCTGGGCCTTGGGGTGGGGTTTGGCGGAGGGGGGCCTCGCTCGGGAGCGGAGCTTCCCATGTCCGGAGGCGGTGCTGTCCTGAGGGAGCTTGGGTGGAGCGGGTACCGGGGGAAGACGTCGCCGTCGCCTCCGGGGACGCCGCGCACTTGGGCTGGGGACGGTAGGGCCGGGTGCTACTCTCACCGCGCTGCCCTGGCACTACGCCCGACCGCCCAACCGCCTGCCCGCCCCTCGAGGCGCTTGGGTAAGGAAGTGACAGCAGCAGTCTTTTTTTTTCAAGATTGACTTGCTTCATTTTGTACTCCGGTCATGGTCACGTAGTTGTAGTGCCTGATAGCTCAGAATCTAGCTGTGATCAGCAGCTGTGAGGCAGCCGGAGCGCGGCCTTTGCTTGGGCCGGGTGAGCGAGCTGGCCCGCGGCAGCCCGAATGGGTTAACCCTGAAGGAAGATAAATGCCTTGTTGAAGGGAGAAGCTTGTGCTTCATCGCACGTCACATCAACGGTCTTCCCAAACTGTTGCATTTATTTACACTGTGAAAGCTGTGCTGGGGGCGGATTAGGCTGGACATTAGGAAGCATGTCTTTACCGGGAGAATAGTCAGTGGAACAGGCTTCCCAGAGAAGTGGTCGACACCCTAAGTCTGTCGGTGTCTAAGAGGCCTTTGGACAGTGCTTTAACCTTTGGTCAGCTCTGCATTGAGCTGCTTGAGCTAGCTTTAATGTGGGTAACTTGGAAGCCAGTTGTTATTGCTGCTATTGTAGTACTGATTCTTGTCCAGTGCCAGTGCATGTATCTAACATACCCTAGTAAATCACTTTTTCTGACTACACAGTTACCAGATCTTTGCTATTTATTCCTCAGAATTTGAGGGAAGGGGAAAAGAAGACTGATTGCCCATGTGGCTGCTGTTGTGCCATGATGAAGGCATGAAACATTTTTATTACTGTGCTGTCTTTTGTCTCCTCTCTTACCCTCCCCCTATTCCTTAGAGAATGAAAATGATCCTCAGACGAACCCAGTACCCCACAAGGAAGTATACACTTCGGAAACACCTTTAGGATTCCAAGTGAGAACAGAAATAATATACAAAGATGTTCAGCCTCCTGTTACTCGACTGCTCAGGCGTGTGGTATCGTTCTTTGATTCTAGTGGCAACCCTCCTTCTGAGAAGTGAGCTGCCTGAAAGCTCAGAACATTGTGTTGGGGCTCTGAGAATGTCATCCCAGTGCCTTACACCAGACCACCACTGGAAAATTGTCCCCTTGCATCGCTGAAGCAACAGCTCTGTCTTGGACACCTCTCTGCTGGACTTGCAAACCTTCTTGTCTGCTTGTGTCGCTGCTGTTCTCTGTACATGTGTCGGAGTTGCCGAACATGAACTGGGTTCATCCAGGTGTGCTGTGAGGTGTTAATGAACCTCTGTGCTACCTGGTGTCCCGTGACCAATGCTCTGACCAGGTGTGAAGTTGATTTCCCAGCTGGTGTGCAGGACGTACCTGGATGATCCAGAATGTACCTGGGATGACTTTCAACTGAGCAGCTCTGAAGTGAATACTTGAAGAACAGTGAGTAAATGGGAAGAAGTTTAGTGTTTCAGGCACAAGAGTTCTTACTCGTGTTTCAAATAAAAGTTTATGAGGGATGAATTACAAGTGCAGAAATGTTACTGCGAGATAAAAAGTTATTAAATTTTCTACTCCAGGCTCTTGTTTCTATAGGGATTTTCCTGATCCTTATACATGCTATACCCCTTTGTAGGATACAAGCTCTGTGGCCATAACTAATGTTCATTCTATAGGGTTTTCTCTAGTCCTTATATACATCACCTCCTTTCCCAGCTCCTGGCCACCATTTTCTGTTGATGTTTCCCCTCGTTTCTCACTGTTGACCCTCATTGCTGTAGGGGATCCCTGCAGCCTCGACTTCCTCTTCTTGAGCTCTGCCCCCAGCCCCATCTTTTTTCAGAGGCTTCCTCCAGTCCCTATGGACATGGCCTCCCTTTTGGGGGGAGCTGACCCAAGACTCTGCACTGGCAGAACTTCTTTTCTGTAGGGGCTTCTACCTACTCCTGCCCCACCTCCCCATTTCTATCAAGGCTCTCCTTACAGCCTTTTTAGGACACCCCTCGTCCTACCCCACATGAATCTCTAAGGTCTTCCATCTTGCCATTATGGAAAGCTGTCTCTGCCCACACACCTCAGGTTCCAGATCCATCCAGTATCTGAAGGGGGCCTACAGGGAAGCTGAAGAGGGACTCTTCATCAGGAGCTGTAGTGATAGGACAAGGGGGAAAATGTAGGGTAAGTACTGGGAAGAAATTCTTTACTGGGAGGATGGTGAGGCAATGGAACAGGTTACCACGGGACATTGTGGATGCCCCAACTGGGGAAGCATTCAAGGCAAGGTTTTGGATAAGGCCTTGAGCAACCTAGTGTAGTGAAAGGCCTCAAAGCAGCGGGGTTGGGACTAGATAATCTTTAAGGTCCCTTCCAACCCAAACCATTCTATAATTCTGTAGGAACTTTTATAACACAAGCCCCCCCCAGTCCATGCACCTACAGGCTCACCTTTCCATATAGTCTGGTCCCTACGGCAACTACCTCCTTTTCCAGAGGGCTACTCTCAGCCACTAATTTCTGTGGGCAATGCTTCATGTCCCTACAGCTGTTGCTGTAGAGGTGCCACTCTGGTTACCTGCATTTTCTCCTTTTTATAGGTATCCCCACAAAATCCTACAGACATTAACTCCCCTTTAGAGGAAGGGAGCCCCTCCACACACTGAACACCTGTGTACACCTGTACACGTGTACACCATGCCTGTGCATGCTTGTCCTATGCACACTTGTCCCGTGCACTCCTCTACGCACCTGTCGTGTGCACGTCCATGCACACCTACCCAGAACACATTTGTCCTGAACACGCCTTTCCTGTAGACGCTGGGCCTGTACACACATGTACACATCTGCACACACCTGTCTTGCGTGCACCTGTGGACACCTGGTGTGTGCCCATCTGCACACACCTGCTCTGCGCGCACCTGTGGACACCTGTCCTGTGCGTACCTGTGGACACCTGGTGTGCACACATCTGCACACACCTGTCCTGCGCTCACCTGTCCCTTCACTCCGGGAGCAGCCCCTGTTGATGGCCGTGTCGGGAGAGTGCCGGGGGGCTGCAATAGCACCTCCCGGCCGCTGGGGGGCGGTGCGGGCGGGCGCCGGGCAGGGAGCGGCCACCCTTGCCAGTCCCCGCCACCTGTCACGGCTCGGCGCCGGCCCGCGCTGCGCCATGAAGGCGATCGTACAGCGGGTGGCCCAGGCCAGCGTCACAGGTCAGTGCGCCCCGGCCGGGAGGGCTGGGGGCGGCCGTGTGTGTGTGTGTGTATATGTGTGTGTGTATGCGCGCTCCCCTTTCCTTGTCGCGCTGCGTGAGTTTGCCGTGGGCCGGCTCGCTCGCTTCTCCCGCGGGGGCCCAGCCCGGCTCCCTCATGGGTTGAGTGTGGTCTGCGTACTGAGGTCTGTGTACGTCCTTGCCTTGCCGGCGCGGGCTGGCAGTCCCGCTGCTGTCGCCTCCTCGAGTGCCTTTGTATCGGTACCACAGTCGCAGTCATCTTGCATTGCTTGTTCGTGTTTACAGGAAAATGCTTGTTTGAGTTGGAAGGCATCCACAAGGACCATCGAATCCCAACTCTTAGCCCTGCACGGGGTATCCGCAGGAGTCAAACCATGTGCCTGAGAGCATTGTCCAAATGCTTCTTGAATTCTGTCAGGCTTGGCTTCAGTGTTGGCAGGGCTTCCCTGGTCGCTCTGGCGCGCCGATGTGTGTGCTACAAGTGCCGTCCCTTGTGCGAGCCCCCGCGTGTGCAGGTGTGCCACGACAGCCACCTCCACCGTGCACGGCTTGCTCGTGTGGCAGGGCCGAACCGGTGACTGCTCCACATTGCCTGTGCGTGTCAGAGCAGACATCCCAGCCGCCTCCTCGCATCACGAACACGTGCTGGCACCACGGTCGCAGTTTTGCGTGTGCATGTCAGCAGTGAGCCTGTGACCACCACAGCGAGTTCTGCTGTTCGGCCCGGGGACCGAGAAGTGTGCAGCAGGACGGCCTTCACGCTAACAAAGGGCACTGACAGAGCACGTCTGTATAAGGGGCACAGCTTTTGTGCACAGCTGGTACTGGGGGCACAACAGTGACCAGATCCCATCAGCACTGGAGTTTTTGCTGACTTGCTGCCACCTCTCTGAGGAATAATTTAAACTGGGTTTTTTTGGTTGTTGAAGAGTTTGAGATGTCACTCTCTGAGGGAGAGGGTGCTGTACTTAGCGGAATAGCTTTCTGAGCTGGAGGACTCATACCCAGATCAAATGGAAGGAGTCTATGAGTAGTTTTTCCCTCGGGTTTGCTTCTGCCCATTGGGAATAGTCCTGATATGGCCACAAGTGCAGAGACACAAGATTTCAGCTTTTGCTGGAGACCTGATCTCCTTTCATTTTACAGGATGTTTGGAGCTTTTTGCCCAGTCTTGAGCCTGGATGCAGTTTTAGCAGCTGGGTAACTGGTGCTTATCTCAGTTTTAAGGCTGCATCTAATCTTACTACAGTGATCTCAGGATCAACCATGTCATGTCAAAATAACTTTAATTAAGATAATTAAGATAATTTAAAACATTTCTTAGGAAAACACAATAGATCTGTGATGGTTTGTATTTTATTGTAAATGTCATTAAAGGGGTTATGTTCCCAGTTAGAAGGGCAGAATTTGCAGATTGTTAAAAATCATATTTCAAAAAATTCATGAGGGTAGAAGGTAGAAGTCACCTTTTCACAGTATATTCATACTTGAATACAAAGTATGAAGGGATTGGTGGAGTAGAGAACTTGAGTAAACTTAGTGGCATCAACCAGGTGGATAATTTTCACAGATCTTGGAGAGAGTTCTCCTACCTCTCAGGTTAGCACAGCTGATCCAGCTGTAGAAAAAATCTTTCAACAAATGCTGGAGTAAGCATCCTAAGCTCACAAAGAATTTGTGACGCTGGGAAGCTTTTGAAAGAATGCTTCTATGTGATCTTTAATCTCTACAAACTTAACACAGAGAAGCAGGGTTTGGAAATGCTGTTTTCTCTGGTGGATGAACAGTTTTCCAGCTGAAACCAGTGCCATAAAACAAGACAGTGCATTTAACCTTACTTTTCCCCCTCTCCTTCCCCAGTGGGTGGTGAACAGATCAGCTCAATAGGACGAGGTCTCTGCGTGCTGCTGGGCATTTCTTTGGAAGATACACAAAGAGAGCTGGAGCACATGTAAGTTACTTATTTCCTTTTGCCTTGTACTCTTTTTCTTGTTCATTGCTGATACTGAATCACTGATACCTGTGCAGTAGCCAAACAAATCAGTTATTCCTACTGGAAAATTCCGGTTTGCCTGTTAGTTCCTCTTGAGATTTTACCTCGAATGCAAATTTCTTAGTTAGTTAATGTTTCATTGAGAAAAATCTGTTTCCACTCCCTCTCTCTGTGTTTTTTAACAAGAGCAGACTCAAAAATGAAGAATCAACATGTTGGGTTTTTCAGGTCTCCCTTTTTTAGATGTCTGTCTTTTTTACTGCATGAATTTACTCAGAAGAAATCCATCCTTCAAGGATGGGATTTATCAGAAACCTCAAACTCTTATTTTAGCTTGCACAGGAGAAGTTTTGTTCTTCCAAAAAGTAGGATACTCTTGTCACTTGTCTTGAAATATGAATCAATTTTGGCAGCCTGGAGGACTGGCTCTGGCCATCTGTTCATGGCCACAGAACAGTGTGATTCAGCCAGCAAACACATGCACTCTCCGAGGGCTTCTTCTGTCTCATTCAGACAGATCATTGTTCTAAGACCGACCTCAATCCTTACAAAGGCAAAGAAGAAACATCTAGTGGTGCTGACTGATGTCCAGAAGAGGAAAGGCTCAAGTAGCGAAGAGAGAAGAATGTGAGGGAGGGTGAAAACAACCCTTAGGAGATGTGGAAGAGAAAGTAAGAGACTGAGGATATGACCTGAAGGTCACCAAAGATCTCAAATAAACATGTGAAACTTGTAGAGAATTGCAGCAGAGCTGAAGGAAGTTTTATTCTGACATACTCCACTGGTTTACCTTACTGTTTGCCTCGCTCAGTGTGTAACATTTGCTCTCTGTCATTGTTTCTAATCCTTACGTTGATGAATGTGGAGGATGCTTCTGAATATTGCATGTGGGTGATCCGTAGTGACTGTGCTCTCAACACCAGGTTATTGGGATGACTGATGCAGGAAGGGCAGGAAGCCAGCATCTGAGAAAAAGGAATGAAACCAATGAGTTTAACCTGTTTTTTTCAGGTCCTATTAAAGGAAATTTTAGTAATCCTGTAAGTGAAGCAACAAACATCTCTAAAATTAAAACAGAGCAGTGATGATGAAAGTCTCAGCTTTATCTTATGCTAAAGGCCTCACCTCTGGTGCAGCATAATATGCCTGGCTCATGACTGCAATTGAAATGCTTTGCACTTGATATGCTCTCTTGATGCTGCAGATGTGGAGAAGCTAGAAGAAACCAAAGACAGGACCATGGCTTGCATTCCTGTTACCAGTCAAAGTCTGGGTTGCAAGTCTGCCTGCTACTTTTCAGGATCCATTTGTGAAGCTCCTCTTATTCTCTTGAGTATTAGAGCCAAAAATGGGTCCAAAATTCAAAGAAGTCCCAATCACCGCTTTACTGCAGTTCTTCCCTGTTCCTTGCCTTCCTTTTCTCCTGATGAAAAGTGTTGTCCTCATCTGGCTTGTGGGGCCTGGTTTGGGAATAGTGGTAGGAAGTGACAAAGCAGGAGGCGCATATTTAAATCATGACTGGCAACAGTCATAGTGTAGAGTGATCTCATTTCGTACTAAGTGTGATTTTCCAGTGTGGTCGGAGGATTAAAATTCCCAAAGCTGTTCACATATTAAGTAATGTTGTGACACATAAAATCAGATATTAAAGAGTGAGCTTTCTTAACTTGCTATGCCATCTTTATGTCACTTTGTAACACGCAGTTATTCTGTTCTGATCCCGTTCCATAAAAAATGATGGTGTGGATTACTGATCTGACAACATTGTGGAGGAGTATAAGGGCTTCCTTGGTTATGCCTCTAATAGTGTGACGAGATTCCCATGGCTTAGGAATGAATGTGCAAAGGGATATCTTTTTATGTGGAGAAAGAATCAATATGCATCTCCGTTTCATGTTATCTTATTCTTTATGGTACCTGTTGATTCTGCATGGGACAGTTTAAAAATTCCAGTGCCTGACAATTTCAGGCACTGGAATGGGCTGCCTAGGGAATTCTCCATCCTTGGAGGTATTTAAGAAGAGGCTGGATGTGGCACTTAGTGCCATAGTCTAGTAACTGTGGTGGTAGTGGATCAAGGGTTGCACTTGATGATCCAACCCATATGATTCTATGATTCTATGAAGAATTATCTTTTTCTACTAGGGTTCGAAAGATCTTGAATTTGCGAGTATTTGAAGATGAAAGCGGGAAGCACTGGTCCAAAAGCGTGATGGATAAACAGTATGAAGTGCTGTGTGTGAGCCAATTTACCCTCCAGTGCATCCTGAAAGGAAACAAGCCTGACTACCACATGGCAATGCCCACGGAGCAGGCAGAGTGTTTTTATAACAACTTCCTAGAGCAGCTAAGAAAAGCCTACAAGCCAGAGCTTATTAAAGGTAAGGACAGAAGGTTGGTTAAACATTGATAAAACATTATACCAGTGTTTTCCAAGGAGGCACAGTGAAATGCACACATAAAATGTCCATCTTTTCTGGTAGCTTGTTCTTCCAGTCAACATTTGTTCATAATAAGGAATGCTTTTCTGATACCTCTTACCTGCATCCCTTTTAGTTGGTAACAAAAAACTTTTTAACTAATTCAGAATATTTGCTTTTTGAATCGTTGTCTTTGATGAGTTTTGACTAAGTTAGGACCCATTCCTATGCCTCAGAAGTTGGTAACAGAACTTCCTGTCAAGTTAGTAAGATTTGCTCTGGTAAGATTTGATTGAATTGACACTTATGTCCTGGAAAAACTAAAAGCAAGTATGGACTTTCTTCTTTTCCTTAAATGAGGTGTGGAAAAATTGCTATATCTCTGTATATCTACTTTTTTGTGCTTGGGCTTTTGGAAAATGCTCTGTTTCTTAAATACCTTCAGTTTATAATTTGACAGTGACTTTTTGAAGTTCTCTCAGCAGTCGTATACCTGAAATGAATAGTCACTGTTGTTAAGTGCCCATATTTTGGCACTTGCTTGCCAATGCTTTCTGCAAAAAGAGATATAACTTCTGCATTTTTTTTCTGTGCTGAAAACACAGAAACCTAATACCACTGCCTGTGGTATTGAGTCAGGTAACACATGCATTTAAAACTGCTGGCAGCACTGGAACTACCTGTTAACCTACGATTTTGCTTTCTTACTAAGCTGTACCAGTCTATGTTGTTAACAACTCTGTTAGGTTGTAGCAGTTATTAATATAATAAATAATAAGTCCCATGGGGACCATAGCGACACCAACATGATGTGTAACAAGAGAGAGATCGTTTATTCAAGGAGTCCCAGCTTATATAGCAGTTTCAAATGCTGCCACGTCACACAGGTAACTTCTTAAGCCAATCCCATACAGAGCATGTGTGACAAGAGTACTTAGAACTACAACTCCCAGGATGCTTTGCAGCACCTGGTGTAACCAGACCCCATAATTCCCCCATTTTTATTAATAACAAGATACAAAACAGTGTAAATTCAAAAAACAGTGCAATTCTTAACAAAACTTTTTGCACTTGACATAGTAAACTTATTTCTTGATTAAACCTTATTTATCTAAGGGTTTTTTGCAATTGGGTAAAACAAAAACCTTTATCAATCTGAGGGTATATATATAACTGGGGAAAATTTACTTTATTAAAACACAAGGAAAAGTTTAAAGGAGGAACATCATGTTTTGAGTTGTCTTTTATTAAGGTGATGTATTAGAGGTAGTGTTTGTTGTGCGTGTTCGTTTCAGATATTTTGTATAAGGTGTAAATGGTTTACATAGATTCATACATTCACACAATCTCTCTTTCATTCGGGTGGCCACCCCAATCATTTTTCATTCATGCATACATGTATTTTTTATTTTGTTTTCATATTCTAGCTATACAACTTAAACTTTTATGTAGTGTTTGGTCAGAATGAAAATTGTTTGACTCAGGATTTACTTAATTACATGCATATTCTCACTGTATACTCTCCTTCTTTTGTTGTAAATATGGAAAGTTAATGAATTTAAAGGTATAATAGTGGTAAGTAGTGTGTATATTTCTGAGTGTGTACTTAGAGAAATGAATAGGTAGGTTACTATTATAATCTGTTAATTAATAATAATAGAAATTCTTAAAGATGCTAATTACTACTTAAACGAGATAGTTACAAACTTAAACTTATTTAGATGTATTTAAGAACTTAATAATTTTAAACAATACTCAGTAAATGTGATTATTACTAATTTAAACAAAGCTATAGGGAAATTAGAAACTTAAAAATGTATTAATAAGACAATGTTGAATTTTTCTCTTATTAAATAGAAAACTAAAGACAGTTAACTAAATTATTTTAGACAAAAACATTTGTAATAATTTCTAAAGGCTTATATGTAAAACATGTAAAAATAGTTAGTAATATAGTGTCTGTATAGTTTTGGCCCTGGCCCGGGTCTTTGCCCGGGCCGCCGCCTCTCTCACGGGAGTGGGGAGGCGGTGTTGTTACTGTTGAGGCTCTCGGAGGAGCCGGAGTGGCTGCGGCCATGGCCCGGCTTGCTCACGGTGGGGGCCATGTCGCTGGTCATCGCCGCCGGGCCTCGGCTCGGCCTGGTGCCGCGTTGTGCCGCATGTGCAGCTGTCCCGGGCCGCGCTGCTGCGGCCGCGTGGTCCGCTTCAGGGGAGCGGCGGCACGGGCGGGCTGGCTCGTGTAGTGGGACGCGGCCGTCAGCTCTAGGCACGGCCCGGCCCGGCCGTCACCACGGGCTGCCCGCGCTCCAGGTGCAGGCGGGCGGCGAAGGCCTCGCAGCTCTGCGCCGCCGACACGTGCTCGCCGAAGCCGCCACGCCGCCTTCGGCGCCCCGCGCCGCCCCAGCTGCATTTACAAACTTGTGTCACAGTCCCGGCGCAAGCCTGCTCGGCCGCCCGGGATGGCCGCGGGGCCGCCCCACGGCTTCTCTTCAGGCACGGCGACCGCCCCCCCGGGAGGGGGTTCCACGCGGAGCTCCGCCGGGAGCTGCACGTGGGTCGGGGACGCGGCGGGAGTCACCGCCAGCTGCAGCGGGGCTTCTGTGCTCGGGTCACTGCCTCCTGTTCGACCGCGCTTCGGCCGGGCCTTGGCCCACTTGCGGGCTCCGGGCAGAGGCGCCCCGCGGCGGCGCCGCTCCAGCCGCCCGGCTCTCTCCACGCTGTGCGCCGGGCCCGCCGCTCCCGGTGGTGCCGCTGCCACTGCCATCTGGGTTTGCGCAGGAACCACCGCCGCAGCCTGGTCAACACCACCCAGCACCGCGAGAGGAAGTCGCCGTCGCCACCAAGCCTCGGCCGGGGAGGGCCGGAGCCGCCGCCAGCAGTCCTGCGGAGCCTCGCGCAGCTCCGTCCCCAGCCTGTTTCGCCGCGGCTGCCGAGCGTCCTGACAGCCCTGCTCTCTGTGCCCGCCGCCGGCCTTGCCGCTCGCAACGTCGAGCGGCTATCACGTATCTTTTTTAAACATCACGCCGCTGTTGCTGGTAGGCACAGCAACTGTTGCTTAGCTACTGGCTCCCAGCACGGACCATGTTCCATGCATGCCTCCAGCAGAGGTAGTCCACAACATGGCCAGGAGACAGGAAGAGAAGGCATTACCTTCTGCTCCCGGCATGGGCAAGATGGCGCCACCCATGCTTTGGCGTGGTCTCCACGTGTCTGCAAGTTTGCCATGGCTTGGGGATTCAAAGTTTGTTTCCTTTTACCACTCACATAATTTGCGACACGAGCCTTCTTCCCAGAATTCACGCATCCGCGAAAATTCAGTACAAAAAGGTATATTCTAAGGCTTTTCTTCCGTGCTCTCGGACCCCCTCCTCCTTTCCACACTGCAGTAGCACGTGGAGTTCCATGCTTTACAATGTCTGGGGGAGGGGAAGATCCAAAGTTTCTCTCTGTGGGCGAGTTTTTTTGCGAGGGTTTTAAAGTGTCCACCTTTTTTACTTCTGTTTTTTCTTTGCTTCTCCATCCCTCTTTCCAAGCAATTTCACCAAGAATTGTAAACAACAGCAGTCTTAAAACAGTTATTTTCATCAATTTTAAAAGTCCAGTTATGTTATGTTTGTTAACTTGTCTCCAAAGTCTTTTCAATATTAAGCTTAAGGCTTTTGCAATATTCTGTGGTTCACGTGAATTAAAAGTTTGCATTTTTTCTCTTTTTTTGTTTTCTTTTTTCTCCCGCCCTCTCACCTGGGACGTAGATTTTTCTTCTCGAGAGCGTCCTCTCCAAACGTAGGCAATTTCCTACCGAATTCAGGCCTTTTTTCGAGCTCAATCGCGGTTTCTCCCGCCTACGCCCATCAGAGTTTCCTTTCCTCTGGTACCTGGCGTTTCTTTCTTTTTCACGGCGGACGTCCCTCAGCGTTAAATATAGGCTGGTACCTGACGTCTGGTCCGTATTTCTTCCTGATTCAGGATAAGGCTTAGGTCCCTGTTTGGGCGCCATATTTATTAATATAATAAATAATAAGTCCCATGGGGACCATAGCGACACCAACATGATGTGTAACAAGAGAGAGATCGTTTATTCAAGGAGTCCCAGCTTATATAGCAGTTTCAAATGCTGCCACGTCACACAGGTAACTTCTTAAGCCAATCCCATACAAGCATTCAACAGAGCATGTGTGACAAGAGTACTTAGAACTACAACTCCCAGGATGCTTTGCAGCACCTGGTGTAACCAGACCCCATATTAGGTCAAAGTTTCTGTTGTGCCAATTGCTTTGCCAGTGCTTTTGTTTGTTTGTTTTATCCATTTATTTTTGTGCATGCAAAGTTTCCAAAGTTTGGCAGTTTCATAGGTAGTAGGCCAAGTCCTGTGGTAGCATCAGCAGAGTTTACAATTTCCCTGAGCTGAAGTACAGTTTTGTAAAAATTGTGATGCCTGGTCTGTGATTTAGTGTGGCAGGCAAATATACTGGATTGTGTCCTGGAAAAGTCCTGAGGAAATCAAAACCTGGCTTAGTGGAAGCTGTCCTACATGCTGCCGAGTTACAGCAGGTGGTGGGAGGGCCCTGGGAAGGAGCACTGGTAAATGAGCTGTTGGACTGTTAAATAGGTTTAGTGTATCAGCATGAGGCTGTCTACAAAATCTGTACTCATGTACTTTTCCTACATGCACAGAGCTGTAGTTATTGAGAGATTAGAGTTTGGTTTTCTGGATTGCTTAAGGTCTTCTTCCCTTTGATCTCACAAATTGCTTAATGCATTTTAGAGGAGTAATGTAATCATTGAAAATGGAATTTGTGTAGCTGAGGCAAAGATAGCTCATTAAATTCAGCTAGGCAGAAAGGGACCTGGAAGTTTGGATTGACAGGAAGCTGAACATGAGCCAGCAGCATGCCCAGGTGGCCAAGAAGGCCAATGGCATCCTGGCCTGGATCAGGAATGGTGTGGGCAGCAGGACCAGGGAAGTGATTGTTCCCCTGTACTCAGTGCTGGTGAGGCCACACCTGGAGTGCTGTGTCCAGTTCTGGGCCCCTCAGTTCAGGAAGGATATTGAGGTGCTGGAGCAGGTCCAGAGAAGAGCAACCAGGCTGGTAAAGGGACTTGAGCACAAGTCCTATGAGGAGAGGCTGAGGGAGCTGGGGTTGTTTAGCCTGGAGAAGTGAAGGCTCAGGGGAGACCTCATCACTCTCTACAACTCCCTGAAAGGAGGTTGTAGCCAGGTGGGGGTTGGTCTCTTTCTCAGGCAGCTATCAGTAAGACCAGAGGGTCTTAATCTCTGCCAGGGGAGGTTTAGGTTGGATATTAGGAAGAAATTCTTTACAGAGAGTGTCATCAGGCATTGGAATGGGCTGCCCAGGGAGGAGGTAGATTCTCCATCCTTGGAAGTATTTAAGAAGAGACTGGATGTGGCACTCAGTGCCATAGTCTAGTAACTGTGGTGGTAGTGGATCAAGGGTTGGACTTGATGATCTCAGAGGTCCTTTCCAACTCATCTGATTCTATGATTCTATGAAATGTCATGTCCTATTGCCTAAGAGCCTTGTGTTTTTTGGTTCCTATTTTTTCTCGGTAGATAATTTGGCTGTTGGAAATTAGGCTGCTATGTGTGCCACTGTTATAGATACTGGGCAGGCAGCTCCTTCATCTGTTATCTGGTCTATCTGGAGCTTGCCAGATAGGAGCTCAGAATGGGACATGTTCTCCAAACAAACCATTCTTTCACACCCAAAGCAGGGGGACATTTGACAAAGAAAATCTTGGAGGAGGTTCCGAATCGTGGTTCCTAGTTTAACACAGTTTAACTTAAGACTGCAGGTGGGCACCCATGTCTGGAAGTGGAAGGTTGCATCAAAAGTCCTTGTTTGTCTTGCTTCAGTGCTTTCTTGTGAAATTGATTCTTAAACATCTCACTCCACTCTGAGGAGCAGAGCTGGTGAATACAGGTGGGAGTACTCTTGTTGTGCAAGCTAATATACCAAGGCTTCTCCTTATGTGTCAGGGCCTTTACTCTCTGCCTGGATGTGGATTTAGTCTTCTGAGGCAGTAAGGATTAGCATGGCAAAGAGTGTGAAATGTCATGCTCCCTTAGTAGTAATATCTCAGTAAATATGAGAGAATTGTTCCACAAGGAAGAGTTTAAGTCAGATTAAGGTTTGCTACAAGCTGAAAGCAGAATTATTCTCCCTGATTAATTCCCTTTGTAAGTGTTGTCACTTCATAATAAGTGTTCTTATCTGGAGCAAGAGTATTTGCATGGTGTTAATTAAGAATAACTTTCTAAGTAGACAAGTTTAGAAGTAACTCCTGAATAAAACCAGTGTGAAGTTTTTAGGTCATAAGGCTTGAGATATGTTCAAAAATATTCTGAAAGTAAATTATATCTGTTTTTCAAGTCTTTACATCTCAGATGTGGCCTCTCTGACTCACCTTAGATAAAAATCTTCTTTACCTCTGAGGAAGGTATGCATGCCAGATTTTTAGAGACAAGGAAATTGGATAGATGGATGTCCAGCAGAATAAACTTGACCCTTTAATTATACTTGTAGGATCCTGTTTTATTGCAGAAGATGTTATAAGGTGAATTCATCAGTCAAGAAGTCTTAAAGTGGGGAAAGATTTACTACACTGAAGAGCATTATGGTATAAAAAGCATGAAAAGAAACAGTGTTTAAGGGTAAGTTATTACTGTCTCCCATGGACAGTTCAGGGTCATGTGATAAATTTACCCAAAGTTGCTGGGGTAACAAGTAACATGCAAGGAGGATGGATTCTTTCTCCTCCTCTCCTTCTGACTGAATAGTGAAAATCAGTCTGAATTCTTGGTACAGAGAGATGAAAGAGATGATGTTTTCAGTTTCTTTGCAGTGCTGCACAGAAAAGGGATTTATCTGCCTCGGAGTTTCAGAAGTTGCATTGAAGGGCAGAAATTTTTGCAGCCTGTCTGCCTGAGCACTGCAGAAGTGATGTGTTCCCCCCAGCTCTTAGCTGAATGCAAAATCCAGTGTTTCCACAGATGTCAGTCAGATTTAGGGGAGTTAAGCTGTCTCCAGCTTACCTTTTCAGGAAACCATAATGCACAAATAAGAGATGCCCTCCCTCTGAAAGGTTATATGAATTGCCATATAGTGACACAACAGTAGACAATGGGACAAGGGAAGGAATGCAGGAGCATGTCTTTGAGGCAGACACCCAACACTGGGGGAGATTCTACTGAAGAAGTATGTCTTCCTAAGGAGGAATTAGACATTGATTTAAGAATAAATGTTGAAACTAGGTTTTATCTTTACCAAGTTATTTCAGGCAAGATTAGACCCTAAAGCTGCAGAGTAAAAGGCGGTATTACAGTGAGGTCACTTCTTGAAAAGAGTTGTGTGAATCAAGAACCAGGTTTTGTTGTATAAGAATGCTGCCAGAACAGAAATCCAGAAGCATCCCGTGAGGAAAGCGCAGTGTGTGCAGGAGCCATGGTCCCCAAAACTACAGTACACATAAATTTGTGATAAAGGAAGTTGGCAGCTGCTTCTGACATCATCACATTTGTAGTGTGTTTGAGAGTTTGAGGATGAGGATGTGTGGTGGTCCACAAGGCAGTTTGATTAAGACCAACTGGAATTTGGAATATGTGAAGAAATTCTCCCTCAGTTGGCTTTTTAAATCTTTTGAGAAAATGCTGAGACTGAAACCTTTATTGCCTTTCATATTTCAGTGGTTGCAAGGAGCTGAGACCCTGTAAAGCCCTGGACCTTGCTGGACAAGTTTCTTAAAGAGGCTTAATTATGGGGTTTTTTATACCCTGAGGCAGGCGCAAGAAAGAAATGCCACAACGCTCTCCGGAGGTTAAACAAGAAATTTTTACTCGTAAACTTCGGACAATAAGGGAACTTCGGCAAAATTTAAAGGCAACATGCAGTCAAAATAAAGCATTTCAGAAAGCATTGACTTAGGAAACTCTAACCCATACAGCTTTAAGTTACCCAGATTTCGAGAAGAGGAAATTAGGAGAAGGAAAGAGAGAGAAAGGTATAGCTACCATCTTGGTTGCAGAGTGATCTTAGTTGCTGTAGATCCAAGACAATAAGGATGCCACATGTGCATGCCTCCTGTTAATTGCATTTATCTGCTCTGGTCTCCTGTAGTGTGGAGCATTGCTTTCAGTGTGCCAGTGACTGACAGCCACTCCAGGGCGGTCCTAGAAGCTCTAGGGGGGGATGGTGTGTAGAGCAGTGCACCATCCCACCACTGCAAAATTTGCCCTGCCCCCCTGCCTTTAGTTGTTCTGAGGCAGTAATCATTTTTCCAGTCTCTCACAGATTCTTCTTGTCTTTAAGAGAAAGGTCTGGAATAGACAGGCTATACAGGAGGGCAGCATTAACAGTATTTACGTTCTAAGTACTGGTTCCATTAGCTCTAAATCTTAAACTTTCTGAGCTATGATTCATCTTGACTTCTTGATGTGGGTGACTTGGAAGTTTGAGGAGAATGGGAGGAAGCTGTTACAGCTGTTCACTGGTAGTAGTTTTGGTGCGAAAACGAGATGGAAAGTGTTTGTGATGTGGGAGTGTTTTGAGTGTTCTTGTAAAGGTGGGGGCTTATTTGACCACTATATTGGCCTTTAAAAAAAGTGGCCTCTGAAGTTTACTTTTTTTGAGGTCCGTACTTGCATGGGAAATGGAAAAGGCAGTCCTTTTTGTGAGTAAAGTACAGCAGAGGCATGAAACAATACATAGAGAGCAATATGAAAAATTGTGCTCCCACTAATAAAGTTTAAGATAGTATTTTTTGTTTATTATTTTGTTAAAGAAAGATGCATTAGTTTTGACTGGGTTTTGTGATAAGGGTGTAGGTACATCTCGTTCTGTATATGCTGTAAATATGAGCAGCAGCTCAAATAGGGTCTGCTTGATCTTCCTAAAGAAGCATTGTAAGTGCTTTCTAAGCATGTCAGTGGATCTTTTCCTCATGATCTACATGAAGGTATAGAGCCTTGTTTTATTTTGCTGCTCAAGTGAAGAAACTGCCTGTTTCTGTGCAGGAAACAGTTCTGTGAGACTCCTGTGCTGTAGTTGGTAGTTGGTCTCTAACAGACTTACACATTAGGTAGCTGGAATTCAGGCGTACAGATACAGTTAAGCAAAACCAAGCATTCTTCAAGCTTTTATTTCTCAACAGAGCAACATTTATATATGTCTCTGAAAATTGTGTCTGCGTGATTCACCAGTGGAACCATAAAATACAGGTTTGGGGAAAACTACCTGCGTTTTCTCTGCAGATTCTCATCTGTCATGGGTGGCAAAGGGTTTGAAAACTGTGCTGCAAAATTATAATAATTACTTTTTTTGATTGCTCTGATGTATTTTCTCAGTGGAATCCCTGCAAATTCTCAGTTCCAGGCTCCTGCAAATGCATATAATGAGAAGAGATTTTTTTACGATTTTTTTTTTTGCTTGCTTTGTAATACTTTAATCTCATAATTTTCTCTTATTCTCTGTAATTGTTTGGTAACTCGCTTCCCTTTTTTGTTCTGCACCATTAGCTAGCATTCAGAACACACTGATCCCTTCCTGAAATACTGACAGCTTCACTTGATTGGGTACCTGATTTACCCAATCAAGTCAGCTGCACCTGGTTAAAGCAGTAACTGTTATGTGCCAGTAGCTTCTGATGTGCCTTTGTTTGATGCCTGTTTGTTGCCTCTGCAACCTCAGTCATCTTATCCCTTCAGAGGGAAATGAGCCCCCAGAAGAGTTGTCAGGTGGGAAGAGGTTTTCACTGTTGCTTTATTAGTTCTTCATTTATGTGATGCAAAACTGGTCTGCACACACACAAAGAAGCACAGAGGAGGGAGGGGCACCCAAATTTTGGACTCGTGGGATTGCTAACCCTGCCTGGGCCCCTTCCAGGCCTGTCCTGGTGGACCCTCATTCCTGTAATCTGGATGTGTTGCCCATCCTGAGGAGTCAGTAGAATTGGCTAGCCAGAGCACCTTTCGGACTGAGGGGACCACTGTCTAGAGACAGAGGACACACACAGTAGTGTGGCATTTCAGGGTGACACTAGACTTGTTATGAGATATTTAGGTGAGGAGGCAAAGGCGAAGAAAAAGGTGGATCTAGGTGTTTTCAGGAGGAACAAGCATGGGAAAATAAAGGGATAAGGGTGTAAAAAGGCCCAGCCACATGTAAGGAAAGACTGATCAGTGTGCTTGTGGCCATGTCCTGTTCCTGATGACTACAGTCTGCCTTGTTTTCTTACTAAAGTCCATTTCTAACTATTTTGAGGCACCCACTGCATGTGTGTGACTGGTGGTCTGGGTGCAGCACCTGGAGCGGGACCATGGTCCAAGGCCTGTGTCTTTGAGCAAGAGTGAGTGAGCAAATAGCAGATGAGCTGGTGAGGAGCTGTGGTAACCAGACCTGAGTCTGGGTGTGTGTCTCTGAGGGTGAGACCACAGGAGGAACTGGCTCCCAGAAAGACTGGAGGAGTCCTGGCCAGGAGTGCTGGAAAGACTGGGGATCTCTATGGGTGAGACTTGTGAGTGTGTGCATGTGTATGAGGGGGTCTGTATCAGGACAAAAGCAGCCTCAAGGGGCTCCTGTATCCCCAGGTGCCAGCATCTGGGAAGGCTGGGATCCATGGGCAATAACTGGGCAGACCCAGCTGCTGGACAAATCCACAGTGTATGTACACACATATTTCCCACTAATAAACCCTCATCCTTATCAGCCATCGGGTTTAGGGTGAGTCTTTGGGTGTTGTCTTTGTTCATGTGTGTGCTGAGTGTGCCCGTGTTGGTGTCTGTGCAGTTGGCTGAATGTCTGTATGTAGCGTACATGTACTTGTGCATGTGTGCCTACTTGGAATACATACTGAATCTTGTTACTGTTCGAACCTAGGGATGTGCAGCTGTGGCAGCCTTGCCTCTGTCAGGTTTCTAGGTTTAACACTCATAACATTTCTCATTCACGTGAAACGCTGAAAGTCAAAGGAGCCTGTGACAATGAACTGGGACACTGGAAATGTGTTCTTTTCAGCCATGTCCTCTGTGGAGCAGAAAACATCTGAGGACAGCACCTAGTAAAATTATGCAGTAAACCTTTTAATAGAATAAATGCCTCAAATCATGCTTTTGCCCCCCCTTCCATTGGCATTTATGTTGCTGTGACTCTTCAGTGATCAGTCCAGAACCTTTTCCTTGGCTGCTGAAGTATTGGCAGCAGTCTTTTGTGCAGTGCTATGATTTTTGTCTTTGCCAGAGCTTGTATCTCTAGTTCACAGGGTGACTTGTGGCATACCGCCTTTGGAAAAGCAATTGGTTGGTAGATCACTTGTGATATAGCCCATATGAGTTGGACAGGCCTGAAGATGCCTTTTCTATTTCCTTTTTCTTTTAAGCAAATACCAGACTTCTATCTGACTTACAGGACATGACAGGGAAACACTAGGGAGAGCTCTTTGTCCCCAGTAACACGTCTGTGAAAAATCAGGATAGCTTGGTTTGACCTCCCTTCAGTCAGGGACATCATGTGTTGCTGTGGAAAGCTGCTATGTAGCTCACGTAAATATTCCCAGTGGTGGTTGCTTCACTGAAGTTTGAGCCTTGTGGCTTTTAGCATGTTCTTGCTCACTGTCCAAGGTGGTACTAGAAGTGGTTTTGGTTGTGTTGCTGAGCTGTCTCCAGGCCTGCCTTCCCAGTGAGACTGCTCCAGTCTTTGGATAACTGCTGTCAGTTTGCTGCAATACACCTTTTCCTCTTCCATGCATTTGTATTGACATGGGAACATCTCTTCTTGTTGCTGTCCCTATAGGAGGTCTATAAAGGCTGCTCAGCTGTGCAGGACAGTATGTGGTAGTGAGCAGAGTAGGCTTAGCCAGGGGTGGGTTGAGTTTGAAGAGTAAAGAGCTAGACTAGAAAAAAATGAAGCAAGGAAGTTTGGACAAAGTGAGGTGTGAGGAGAAGACAACATACAATGGGATGGCTTTTCTAGACTATACAAGATAAAAATGTCATGGCTCTGTTGTCATAGAAGCTTCTCAAATGCTTACAAAGAATCTGGTCTGTGCCTCAGCTGGTATGCTAATAAATGCTAATTAATGACAAATGACACAGACATTTGTGATTTCAGAACTGTATTCCTCTGAAGTAGGCAAGGTTGAAGGAGTAGGCAGTCTTTTTTTCCACCTTTTTTTGCCAAACTCTGTCAAAGAACAACCTGTGTTGCAAGCAGGAATGTAGAAAAATGGCTGCAGTGGATTGGGACTGAGCTACACATCAGTGTTCCCTGCTCCAGAGTATTCAATGTCAAATGCTTCAGAACAGGCTTTTTATCTTTTGCCTATGTATAAAGTTTCTTCAAAACATCAACTGCTTAGTTGAAGTGGATCCCTAGGCTTAGCTGTTACATCCTTTAAAATTTCGTCTCCTGACTGAGAACTATCCTGAACTGTGAGGACCTTGATTATCTGTAGACTTGGTTTGTTTTGTGGGTGTTTATATACTTAACTGTGTATTTATCATCTCTGAATGTCAAACCACATAGCTGGGTGCACGTACACTGTTATTTTCTTAGTAGCTTTCTGCATTTTGTTAGTCAGCTGCCCTTTCACGTTTTGGTTTTTGTTTTTTATTTTTTGGTAGCATGTTTGGTGAACACTTTCGTCTGTGTTATCCTTCCAGGAGCTCTCAGCACTTCTTGTCTCTTCCCTTTTCAGATGGCAAGTTTGGGGCCTACATGCAGGTACACATCCAGAATGATGGTCCTGTAACAATAGCATTGGAGTCTCCAGCTGCCACTGTTGATCCTAAACAGGTAAAGTGACCCAGGTCTGTCTGCAAAGAATAATGTATATCCTCTGCAGATTTGTAGCATTCTTGTTATGAAGCAGTATAGCTTTCCTTAGGCACAAGGACCTTGTCCTTCCTATGCAGCCTCTGAAAAGTCAAATAATTTTATTGTTTTCTTCACTTCCCTGGCCTGTTGATAGCTGCTTGCTGTCCTGGTAAAGGTTGTGCGTATGTAATGCAAAAAAGCTTTTTACAGTTTATTCCTTCTCATCATTAAAGCTGCTGTTTAATCATGACTCATTAATGATGTTTTTAATGTATCTGGACAACCATCCCTCCCCCTTTTAGTGAAGTTTCTTGCCATGTAGGATCTTGTGCGTGTAGGTGACTGGATGGAACTGGAGACATACCTCTTTATCAGAAAAAAGGGAACAGCAAATTTAAGTCCTGAATTTAAGTCTGGAGTGGAGAGGAGAGTTAGCTCTTCTTAAGAACAACACAAGTTATGCTGAAAACCAAATGCAGTAATGAGGTTTTCTCATCTTCTAAACGCAACAGTGACTTTTCCAGGCTGAAAGAGAAGGGGGAGGGTTTGTTATTACCAACTGTGCCTCAGCAAGGCCACACCAATCTTATTTGTATAATGCTTCACTTAACCATGTTAAAACTGCTGTTTATAAGAAGGGCATGAGGGAAGAATCAGAAAACTATCAGCCTGTTAATCTAACCCCAGTACCTGAAAAAATTATGGAGAAGATCATACTGGGTGCTTTTGAAAGGCATTCAAAGAACAATGCAGTCATCAGGCACAGTCAACATGGATTCAAAAGGGAAGTTCTGTCCAACTGGTTTGATATACCCTTCTACACCTGCATAGTGATGAAGGGAAAGTGGTGGATTTAGTTTTCTGGATTTTGGTAAGGCTTTTGATACTTTCTCTCACAGCATTCTTCTCAACAAGTCCTCCAACTATGAAATAAGCAGATACACAATGAAGAACTGGCTGAAGGGCAGGGCTCAAAGGGTTGTAGTCAGTGATGCTACATCTGGCTGTCGATCAGTCTCTGGCAGTGTTCCTCAGGGCTTAATTACAGTACCCCTTCTGTTCAATATATTTATCTATCTGGATGCAGGAGCTGAATGCACCATTAGCAGATTTGCTGATGATACTAAACTGGGAAGTGCTCTTGACTCTCTTGTAGGACAAGAGGCCTTGTGGAAGGATCTAAATAGTTTGGAGCATCGGGCAGTCATCAGTGGCATTTAGCTGGGCCAAATGCAGGATTCTGCAGCTGAGACAGAACATTACCTGACAAAAACAAAAACTGGGAGAGGGGTGGCTGAAGAGCAGCTCTCCAAACAGGATCTGGGGGTGCTGGCTAGTAGCAGGCTCAGTAGGAGTCGGCAGTGTGTGCCTGAGCAGCCGAGAGGGCAAACCTCATCCTCAGATACATCAAACATAGTGTAAGCAGCCAGTCTAAAGAGGCGATTACCTGGAAAAAGCATTGGTGCAGACTTACCTTGAGGATTGTGTGCAGTTCTGGGCCCCACATTCAAGAAGGTTGAATACTTGAATAGATCCAGAGGAAGGCAACAAAGCTGGTGAAGGAGCTGCAAGGAATATCCTGTGTGGAGCAGCAAACGTTTGTCTGGAGAATAGGAGGCTGAGCGTTGACCTCTTTGCTCTCTACAGCTTCCTCAGGAGGGGAGGTGGAGCAAGATGTTTTAGACTGTAAAGCAGTAGTTCTGTTTCTGGTCTTTCTTTCTGTACCCTCACAGTTTTAGCACAATGAGTTCTCAGGCTCAACTGTGCATAATTA